TTCACATCATGGGATTTGGTGCTATGGTTTGGAATCGCTATAGCAACGTTTGGCTCAGTTCATACTTATATCTTTTGGTATGATTACGGGTCATGGTCTGGACATCCGACCGTCCAAACTCTTCGAAAGATTCTCCAAAACGACCAAGCCAGTACTGTTTCTACAAGAACTTCACACGAATCCACAGACCAAAGGTAACCTCAGTCATACATTGCCTGATTTCTCTCCGGAGCTCGTTAGTTTCCGATGAAATGATGTTTTATTTCGTCATCGTTCCACTGCGCCGTCTTGTCTAATAATTCCTTACTAAAGTTAAAACAATAAATCAGCTTAGATCATAAAAATGCTAATCTTCTTCGAATTAGTGTGATTCACTAGTTCGGGCACGTATTACTCATGTCTAATGGTGGTCTGCTGCATCGCGCCTTGTTTTCAGTTGCCACTTCGGGCCGGAAAAAATCATGTAGAGACGAGGCGTGGAGAACTGCACTCAAAGATTGAGTATATGTTTCTCGTGTTGCATGCTGGAGTTGAGTTTGGACGGTGGAGGACATAGCAGCCAACCAACAGTAGTAGTGTTCTTGTCATTTTTTATCTATCCAGAATACCTAAAGAGGTGTGTACCTGTTTAGACTTTCGGCTCTGTGTTTGTCAAAAGGGGTTACTTGTTTTCGTTCTGCCGGAAAACAGGTTCACGTCTCATCCAGCTCGCACATTCCTGCTTAGTTTGAGTTTAGTAGCTATCGGTGAATTTTTCTTTATTGTATTTTGCTGTACAATAATAATGTTGAGCGAAGACCACCAAGGTGGTCAAGTTACGACCTGGCGCAAAAGAATGGTAAACCCTGACCAGTGAACTTATTCACTCTCAAAATTTCATTTCTGTCTGAGCAACATTCTCTGGGTTTAATATCTATTCCTATTCGTCTCAGACATTGGCGAAAATCTGCCGTACCGAGGTACTAAGCTTATAGTTGTTCTAAGTAAAACTATCCTAATATACGCACTATTTGCATTTTCTTACTGTAAGTCCAGTTTTACTGCCTATAGTGGGCTGGATTCCAAAGTCGCATTCACTTATTTATTTCAACACATTTGACTTCACACTTAAATTGAGTTTTTAACTTATTCAATCACCATAATCAAGGTGTCGCAGAATGTATCTGGTTTCATAATTTTCTCGCATTAGGTACTTCCATTCAGGTTTCGGCAACCAAAGTGTTCAACATTAGATTTGCCACCCGATGAATAATTTCATGTTATGTAATGGATAAATCTATAACAAACTGAGATACTGCTACGAATAGCCTGCTAAAAACAGACGTGTAAAGTATTGAAAATTGGTTCGCGTAGCTCGGGTGAACTCAATTCTATTTCGCCTGTTCGCCGAGCTTGGCAATTTGTTTGCAAACGTTTCATCATCAGTGCTTGTGAAGTGGCAGTCTTCTGCTTGTGCCGTTCGTTTAAATATGTGTTCTTCCCCACCGACCATTGCTGTCCCTTGTTCTCATTGTGTTCGACTGGGTTCGCCGTTAAACTAGTGCGTGGGGGCGAGGTTGGTAGGGGTGGGGGTGGGGGTGGTTGTCCATCCGTCCTGATTGCGGTTTCGGTCCGTTCTCAGGTCACGCTGTGACCCTTTTTGTTGCGTCATTTCATCCTTGAGTTGCATTGGCATGTACACATGATCCAGTTCAATGTGCCTGTTGATTGAGATGATTGAGGAGTGCCAAGCTTCGAGAAATTCCCTGGCGTGTTTGGATCGAGCTTGGTCGAAGTCAAACTGATGTCCTTCTTGATCTTCGTGGAGGGAAAGCAAAGATAGTGGGTCATGTCTCCTGACTGCCGCTTGGTGTTCACGGATCCTTGTAGACAGTATTCTCCCAGTTTGTCCGATATAGTGTTTTGAGCAGTTCTTGCAATTTATTTGGTAGATAACATTGCTGTTGTCCTTCTCCATTGTTTTCTCCTTTAGTTTTGGCAGAAGTTTCCTTAGACTGGCGGTAGGTCTGTGGGCGACTTGGGGTCCATATGATCTGAGCAGTCTTGCCGTCATTTCCGAAACGTTCCCGATTCTCCTTCCGTACACAAGGAAGGAATTCCCTTGAGACCGATCGT